ATGTTCAGTGGCATGACGCTGGACTTCCCCGACGGCTCCTCCACCAACTTCGTTGCCACGTTGACAAGCGATCTCGGTGGCGAGTCTGGGTTGCACCAGACTTGGCTCTGCAAGGGCAACGTGGGAACCAAACGCTGCTGCCAATGCCTCAACATCGCCAACCGCAACTGGGTGGGGGCAGATAAGCTCGGGGAGGGCACCCTGCTTCAGGACTACACCTCAGCCACTGACCTGAGCAAGTGCGCGTTCCACACCAAGGCTTCCATAACTGTTTTGGTGGATGACCTCGCTGAGAAGAAAGCGACGTGGGGAAAATAGCTTTCAAAAAATATAAGACCGATACGGGTTGGAACTACTCACCTTACAATTTGGTTTCGGATCCGCACCTCAAGCACATTGTGGACCCAGCGTCCCAGAACACCTTTGACTGGGTGCACAATATTTTGTCTGGAGTCTGGGGTTCGACAGAATAACACGCTTTTTATGCAATTGGGCAGTCTGGCACCAAGTCGAAACATAGCCTTGCATATCTTGAAATGTACAAGTGGCCACGCAGGATACACAGCACATCCAACACAGGCGTGAGTATGTGTCGTGCCTTCGGGACCCGATGATTTGGATATCCCACTGAATACTTCACCATCCCCAATATATTTCTCATTGGGGATGGTCCCGCGGGACTCTCACGATGGAAAGGAAACACAAGTTTGTCCTGAGGCGCGCAGAGGATCACATGAAGGACACCAGAGGTGTCATCAGGGAGGTCATCTCAGAGAGTATGCACAGCCTTAAGCATGCTAGTTGGCTCGATTTGTTGACGGGCCTGGTCGAACCGAAGGCCACCACCAAGCGCTTGACAGAGTATTTGGGTTCGACGTTCGGTGCTGTAGAGCATTTCGCTGCATCGAAGACTCGTTTTAACGACGTTGCCTGGATCGGCGATGTCGTTGCTCTGAAGCAGCTGTCAGCAGGCTGGATCACCGCCTGAGTGCTGTTTTCGGTAGCAGCTCGGGGGTTGCATATGCCGCAGTGCATCCCTTTTGAATGCTCGTCCAAGTCCAGGTGGTCTAGCACGTGGGAGAAACTTGAAGCTCCTATGATGGCAGGTCTAGATGATTTCCTCGCGCCTCTCATCCACTACGGCAGTGATGCTAACCTCACTAGTTTGCATCCTTTGTCGCGTGTGCAATGATTGTTGCTCGTTGGGTATGCGAGCGATTCACTTGCCACCTCTGCAGAAAACTGGGGAGACAGGGAGGAGCGAGGGGGCAAACTAAGGAGGGACAGCAGGGAGGCAAACAATTGAGAGAGAGAGAGAGAGAGAGAGAGAGAGAGAGACGACGACGACGACGACGACGACGACGACGACGACGACGACGACGACGACGACGACGACGACGACGACGACGACGGCGACGGAACAGAGGGAGAGGAACGATAGGAGGGGATGAGGAAAAATAATGGGAGGACCAAGGAACAGAACTGGGGAGAGAGACGAACGAAGAGAGCCGACAGGGAGCGGGAGGGCCGAGTTAGGGAGAGAACGATTGCGAGCAGTGGCACGAACAACGACACACTCCCGACGAATCAGGGCCGTCTGGGCATTCTGATACTCGCAGTGCCCATCGGTTGCCGCGCTCGGCTCTACAGGCTTCTGCCACATCCGCCGATGATGTCCCGATGGTGCCCCGATGAAGTCCCGACGGTGTCTCGATGGTGTCTCGATGGTTCAGCGTTCGTCTCCATGCGAAGCCGGCGGACGGATGGCCGCCGACGGGCCAACATCATTGAAGCCGCTATACCTCTGGGCCTGAGGATAGCTGTGTTCCCTGGCCGCCAGTTTCCCTTGAAGTACTCTGCGAGATTCTTGAGCTCACGTTCAGTAGCCCATGTGAATTAGCCTTGCTAACTGACCTGCGGCCCGTGCATAACCGATTTCTTGCGGGATGGATAAGCATGTCTTTTTCGTGAACAGGGCCCGAACGGTGATCCATACAGCAGTGACGACGAATACAAATATTGAATGCGCATGCGCCCTCTCCCCTCACACAACCTTCAGGCTTCTGCCTGCCCGCCAGAACGCCGCTGCTTTCGGCGATGGGCCTCGCTGTCGCCAGGAAGGAGGGGGGACAGGAGGGCGAGGAGGACGCAAGCGTCGGACGCCGCCTCTTCTGCGCAGCGTGGCCTATCCTGAATCGCCAAGGGCCGTCAGAGGAAATTCTTTGCTCCGCGACGCGAGGGCGTCGGGGCAGGAGAGGCGCAAGGCGCGCGCCTTCCTTGGCGGACCCGGGTACGGTCCAGGACTGCGCCACGGCGCGTGGGCATCGCGGCCCGAGGATGCGCTGCCAGCAAGGGCCGCGCGAATTGCTCAACTAATGCCGCCGCTGCACGGGCAACGTCGTCGTCGTCGTCGACGTCCACGTCGTCGTCGTCGTCGCCGCTGGAAGCTCTATGCCCTCCCTTCCTTCCCCCCCCCCTTGCGCCCGCCTTCCGTGGCCCC